GGAGATAACACAAAGAAAACCAAAAAGGGGAAGGCAGGTGTGGTGGTGAGCAGGGCTGCTGCTGCCAGGACAGAGAGAGAGAGATGGGTGGAGTCAGGGTGTGGTCTTATAGGCTCCCACGAGGGAACCTGATGCAGGCTGGAAATCCTGGAAGTGGATCCTGGAACTGGAACAGGTCTGAATGGCAGCTCCACATAACACCCAGTCAAATCTGCCCTCATACCTTGTGCTTCTCACACTAAGGGAAATCCCAGTCAGGATGAGGCAGCAGTGCAGGGGACTAGCTCCCCCTGAGCAGAGGTGTGTTCCTGTGAACGGGATGTGGTCTGATGCATTACATCTCTCAAGACAGCACCCATAGCCCACCGCTTAGCTGATCTTTGAAAGATATTGCTTATAAAAGAGATGACTCTAGGCGACGGCCAAGTTCTGTAGTTTTATTACACCTTGGGGCTACAGCGGCCTGTCTTCAGAGAGATAAGGTTGTACCCTTTTCATTTTGTATCCTCCGGCCGATATTTTAAGCTGGCTTGTTAAGGGCAGGCGAGTTGAGTGCTGGAACAGAGTTTGATGCATGGCTTTACAACAGGAGCTGGGCCCATAACGCTCAAAGGCCAATCATTACTGACCTTAATAGCCCAGTCTGCATCTGGGCTTGATTGATCGTGCCTAGCAGGTTGTGAAATGCACCATCTGGAAGGAAGGAAGGTGAGATGGGCGAGCAGAGATGAGGGAAAAAGCAGGCAACACCAGCCGAGCACGGAGGGTGACGAGAGATGAGGAGAGTGAGGAGAGTGAGGAGCGCGAGGAGGTGGGAGAAAGAACACAAACTCAAACCATCTTGTGTGGAAATTGATGGCCTTAGTGGGGTGTGGTAGAAACTTAACTCCACTAAGAGGCCCTTCAAGTACAATAAAAGTGGCTGTGACATAAACAACAGCACTTACACTACAAGTATACAATATTCATCCGAAGAGTTGCTGTTTGGTAACTCTTGTCGACTAGTTTCACAAAAGCACCCTGCTGAGAGAGGACAAAATGAAGCGCAAGTGTTGGTGAGACACAGTAAAATAACCGTAAAATTGAGTGCTTGTGTCGTTTTCAGTGCATCCACAATAAGTGTGTGAGGCTAGTTATGTCCATGCTGTCCGACTACGCCGCTTTAAAGTCTGCATAATGTATGATACTCACGCCAGCACTGGGCCATATATTATCATAGAGTACACAATATTCCTCAAAGTCAAAACCGTGTTAGGTCACAGTTTTGCATAAAGCTCTGTATGTACCAAAAACCTACTTTGCATAAGACAGATTTACAATCTATTCAATATCCCCAATTTCCAGAACCTATTAAAATTGAGGAGGGAGAATATTAGGGCTGTGCTACATACTACCTTCATGTGGAGAAACTGTATCACTCAAAGCATTCATGTGTAATGATATTTCCTTGCTATAAATATTTAAGTTGGCAGAAAACTGTTGAGCGGTCCTTTCGTGTGAGCTGTAGCTCCCTGGAGCCCATCAAGTGTTCTCCATTACCATAGTGTTTCCTCTCAGTGGGGCAGGCCGTAATGCTAGCTACAGTAGCAGCAATAATGTGTGTCTGCCACAGGAAAGAGACTCTGACACACTCCTTTTTGCACTTCATTAGACAAATTATTTGGCTTGCTGAGTCATTTGACCCAGCCAAATCAAGTGAGCTATGATAAATGCTGGGAATTAGACTCACTGTGACTTCAGTATCAACACGTAGCAGCATTTGGCCGAGAAACACGCTCATAGTATGAACTCTAATAAATTAAAAGCCTTTATGAATGCTGTAATCAGCAGCTCATAATGTCTGGGGGGCAGCCCTATGGAAGGTAAGATGAAACATCTGGTCTTAGGAAGATTAAACTGAGAATGTGAGACAGCAGGGTGCAACAAAAACCGTTGTTAACATCTACACTGTCCGAATACAACGTTTTATTTCTTATATCTAACTTACTTTTGGCATGGGTTTGATTTATCAATGTATTTACTATTTTTATAACAGAACACAAAGGTTATATAAATTATATACCAACGTTTTCATTTCAGGAGATACTAATTAGTTAAATGGCTTAAGAATGCTTGTATAGAATTCACAATACATGTCTTAGTTGCTTTTAAGTTTAAAAACTGAATTCACATTTGTTTTCAGTTTGTATTGTTAAAAATAATATTTTTGAATCAAGCAATATTCAACTGTATCAATACAATTTTCAGGAAGACGGCTCATAATGAACGAGAATTTCATTGGAATATTTCGCAAGATAACGTTAAAATATTTTTCTTGGCTTGCCTGCCTAGAAATTGGTATGTACACATCTCTATCAAGAAAAGATACATAAAGTTTTGATGCCCTCTTTCTAAAATTGAACAGTGTGTGTCCCTTAAATTTGCAATCATTTGAAAAGCATGGTAAAACTGAGTCTTCGTGTTAGGGACTGAAAGGCAGCCTATGATCTGTGAGTGCCAGAGAGGTTTTTACATAAGCCCTGCTGTGTGTGTACTAAAGGGAAAAGAGGATGACAGAAGGCCAGGTGGAACGGAGACTCCTCTTGCTGACTCAACACCTTTCTCATTTTATTACCAAATCATCCATGACAAACAGCTCTAGCTTTTGGCAAAAGGGACGTGGACCGGATAAGAGCAGGGACAAGCACGCAGGAGGTCATCCCAATCCTGCCAATACAGTCAAGGGTACCGCTACATGGATGTCTCTTAACATATCAGCCTCACATAAAGCAGTCAAGCGTGTGTGTTTTTTTGATAAGCTCAGATTGACAATGATGCCCTTATTTCCCTGATGTGGCCTCTGACATCATCACACAATAGACTAGCACTTGACAAGTCTTTGCAGCTGAGTGACTACAGAAAGAAAAATCCTGGTGACAACGCGATCGATAGAGCATATAAAATATTAAGCAATCATTCTGTGTGTGAAACCAAGTGAGGCGTGGTAATGAAAAAATACGCTGAGCTACACCACAATACGCCACCATTCAAAAAAACGTTATGTTGTCAATTTGCTCTGACGTGAGTGCGTTTATTTTGTTCGACTTGCTTTGAGTGAACAGGCCGTTATTTTAGATCTTCCAATTCTTTGATATCAATGGGAAAAAGTCTAATAGTGCTCTGCGAAAAGGAGAAGATGAGCCTGATTGACGGCTATAAGATGCTAAGGAGGCGGCTTGAAGCACAGTAAGCTCAGGACGACAGTGCAAAGGAGTTCATTCATGAGTTACGAGTCTGTTTCAGTGATGTAGTAAAAGACGGATAAATCCTCCCAACAGCCTGTGAAAAAAATACAACCCCAGGCCCCTGATGGAGACTTATAGAAGACAACAAGAGCTGGCAGCTGACACACATACCATACAGTAGTAGCCTGGAAATCCAGCGACAAATCAGCATCAGATATCTTCGACAGTGAAAATACACATCAAGCCGACAAGACATTTCAAATATTCGTTCTTTTTCTTCAAGTATGCACCCCGAGTCAAGACAACAGTGGCAAAGAGTAGCCCTGAAGACTGTCACACTCCCCTTTGTCAAGTTTATTTTTCAAGGAGACGTTGCCTACTTAAGAGGCTAAGGGAGCTGGTGTAGAGTCCTAGACAGACAAGCAGCAGGCTGATATAAATACCAACACAGCTAAGAGCTCTTCTGAGGCTCACAAGGACCAGACCTGCAAGGACAAATGACCGTCCCCATGGCTGTCCCAGAGCCCCGGATCTAAAAGAGGCGGTTGGGTTAAGGTTAAGGCAGCGTGGGCCCACCAATGACAAGCTGGAAATGAACACTGCAAAAAATGTATGTCTTACCCTGCTTAAAGTGAAAATCTGAACTCAGGTTATCATTGTCGATTCAGATATTTTTATTTCGCTCGACAATATACAAATGTTGTCCTTGCTTGAAACAAGAAATACTTGGGTTAGGGTTATAATAGCTACTGAGGACTAGACTTGTCTGAAACAAGTGAAATTAAGTAGACTAGTTGGCTTACATGTAATCCGTTTTTTAAATAAAGTTGCAAAAAATACAATGAGAGTAAGAATGTATGATGCATAGCTTTGTTTAAAACTTTGGAACAATAATTGTCTAATACAGACATTATATTATTATATAGCTGACAATATGTTTTACAGAAATAAATAATTCACCCTCAGAGTAATATTGCTTCTGTTCATTTGATTTCAACAAATACAATAATACTGCTCACTGAGTAAAAAACAGTTTTTTTCCTCACACCCTATCAAACAACACGCCTACCTTCTCCACTGTTGTCCAGGGTCAACACAAGGCAGCAGAGTGACAAATCTTAGACTACTTCAGAACTATCAGTCTGAATAGCTGAATAAAAGAAACCTTGAAAGGAAAGAGGGAAATTAAAGAGAAAATAACAACGTGATGAAGTCCTGTGGCTTGAAGTTTCTTGGAGGCTCTTCATGTGATGAAATGTGTTTTTTAAATGTTATTTTTTTATAGAACAAGCAATGTGTGTCGTGCTTTACATGATGCATTGGGGGCAGAATTTTCACCGCGGTGGAAGAATTTTACAGGTTATACAAGCAGTGGAATGTTCTGATGGTAAGCCTCTAGCTAAACTTCCCCAACACTACTAAACTTTATTTTTGGAAAGTATAAATCCAACGCAGTTTATTCATGGTCTATGTGTGCTATAACATCAAAATTGAAGCAGACTTTCCACCTCGTGCCTATTGGAAAAAACAGACCTCTCCAGACCGAGCTGCCATCCTGCTTTAGTCTGTACCTATTTGCATAATGTCACACCTACCTAGACAGCAAATTGAAAGCTTGGATGTGCCCGTAATTCAAAAGAATATAATAACTTTCACACGTCACGCGAGATGTCCCCTGACTTTGTGTTTATTATGGTGGTACTGACTGATGTAGGGCCCCCAGTGGAGAGCAAGTGTTAGAGATTAACATGTCATCACAGAGGGGGTAGCCAAGGCATGGTGACAGCTACGCTCGCGCACCTGCCTCCTACCTCCTGTCCAGAGGTGCACCTGCTCCAGCTCAGTGTGTGGCACCAGCACTTCCTTCTTTACACCTGTCCGCACTGCCATAATGAAAGGGGGGCAGCCAATCTGGGAAATCGGGCAAAAGCGGATGAGCAAAAACACGAAATTGATGGAAATTTCCTGCCAAAAAAGCTGGGTGGAGTAATGGCAAAACCCAGGCACGCTCAGAATCGCTGTGGTGTCGAGGTAACATTGATGCATGGTGTGACCTTACTTGTAATGCCAGCCTTAATCTACGCAAGTGGAATAAATGAAGTGGGGCCGCTGCGGACGTGTCACCCGGGCTTATAAAGACAAATCCACCAGCGCTCCCAGCTGTGTACATGTATTCATAAAAGTCAGAGCCACGTCTCGACAGAGCAGAGTGCCCAGCGTCGCCGTCTGCTGCCGACAAAACATCCCAGCTCATGGCTGTCATGGCTGCCTGGAGCTGTCTATCATCACACAGAAGATGCAGGAGGTGAGAGCGGTTTGAGAGTGAAAAATGCTTCAAATGAAAAAGACAAACTGAGGCACAATACACAGGGGTGTCAAACATGTGGTCCCCTAAATTATTTTGAATTATAATCAATAACTTGCAGGCATTGATACTGAGAGCTTATTATGGCTAACATGGCACGTTGAACATAATTCAAAATAAAAAAATAAAAATTATAATTGAAATAGTTAATGATCATTTAAATAATAAATTAATACAAATCAAAACGGCAATTAACATAATCGTATAATGACATGATAAATAACAATCCTTCTTCTGTGATTCAACGCTAACATAAATAATAATTGTGGTCAAAAAAATCTTCTAGAAAGAAAATCCAATGTCAGGTTATTTAGTAATCCTTTGGTCAAAGTTCCTCCATAACCTAAACAAAAAATAACTACACATGCAGAAGATGCTTTGAAAAAAAAAAGTCAGTCCCTGGCCTGCTATCATTTAATGAATTTGGCCCCAAACCCAAAATGACACTCATGTGTGTACCCATGTGTGAAAACATATCAGTGAATTTGAATGAAATGGAACACGTTTGATGAAGCTACTCAGGAAGATATGTAAAAAATACAGTATTTTTTTCTCCCCTGTTTTAGGTCAGCTATTTTTACCTTTTGGCACAATGCCACAATATTGAGAGGTCATTCTCCTGAATAATTATAATACTTTCAACAAAGGCAGGCATTTCATTCGAGACTATGAATATTATCATATTATTCATTAGTTTTGTAGCAACAACAAAAACATTGCGTGTATGCTAATATGTTGAGTGTATTCTAATACTTTGCGTGTATGCTAATACTTCTAAATATAAGATACACAAGTCATGTCTTTCTTCTCACCACAGGTTCTCTAGTATTATTTTCTTCATCTTGCTCTGTATGAGGGCTGATTGCTAACCACATCAAGCCCATGCAGACTCAACACAATTGTCATCGTCACTCATTATTATGCATCCGGCTAGGCAAACTTTGCTTTGTGCAATATAACTGACTCGCTGTCAAGTTAGCTGCAGTCCAGTCATACTTGGCTGGATGTATTGGCATGTGGTTTAAGTAAAGAGCTGTCATTGATCAGTGTGTTTGGTGTAGTCAGTGGGTTTGAGACCATAGAGACTACAGACCTATTTTTGATGGATGCAGCGCTGACAGAAGACATATGAGTGCTGATCCCTAACACAGGCGTGGGCTGCTGATACCAGGCTGTGTGTACCATGCCAACAACTCACAACCATGCCCCCTGTCCGGCCCTGGCTCTGACATGGCTGTGATTTATGCTCCCGGCCAAGATGATCATAATAATGATCATAATTAATCAAGGCATCTTCCTGCACCTCTAGGAGCCCATAGAGTGACCTGGAAAAGACACCCAGACCTCTTTTCCCGCCTCTCTCCCCCTCTCTGCTCCCCCCTCCCCCTCATCCCTTGTCTCACTGACAGGCCTGAACCTCGGCCCAGCAGAAAGAGCCATGCATTATCCTGCCATCACCACTTCTATTTTTATCACACCGTCCATCACTATCACTTACTCCTCCACCCGCTGTACTTCTGCCACCCCCCCTCCCAAAGTGAGTTTTCTTAAAGCTGCCCCATATATTTCCTGATGGAATAACACTGCCTATGCAAATGGCCGGGATTCAAAGACGCCGGCCCGCTGACAGTGAAAAACTAACATTGTCATTTTTTTCTCAGACAACTGCAGAAATAGAGTCCAAGGTGCACGTCTTCACCTCAGGGTGCCCCAGGCCTGGTAGGTACGGCTCTCCCAGCCCCCTGTGCGCACCCCTGATGGGCTGACATCCTTGTGAGGCAGAGATCACTAAGAGAAGCGCCTCTCACACAAATCTGGAATATATGCACCGGCAGAATGATATTTTCAATTCCTTAGCGGCAGCCAGGTAACAGTAGCCTAGAGCAATGGAAAAGTTTTTTGTCTCACCTTCTCTTTATTTCCCCTGGTGAGGAGGATACAAAGCTCTTTTGCTCGGCTGAGCTGTACGTGCTAGGCATCTGTTCACAACACACCCACCTCCCCAAGCTTCTCAAATTCAGGCTATAGACTTTGACTTACCTGTCTCTTAATAACCAGCATCTGAAGCTTTAGAGGCTAAATGGTACGGCTGACAGTGTTGCGTGGAAACCCGTGCAATCAAATGCAACCTGGAGTCACCTACTTTCACAGAAAAAAACACAAAGTAGAAGTATTGCACTGACAAAGGTTGAAACCTATTTATTTGTTAAACTAAATGTGACATCATCCAACAGTGTGAATTGTGGTAGAGAGTTAGAGCTAGAGACTCGGTGCCAGGCACATCCACCCACAGCCACAGATCCTTCTGACTGTGACATCATCAGAGCTTTCTGTGGGAACAAAGGCAGACCCACATTTACCCTTTCCTATACGGCGGCCTACATTACCAAATTGCATAAGACTGTCTATTTCTCGTTTGGTAATTTGCTGGATTTCATGCATTACAAAACCGCAAAACAGATGTAGAGCCAAACTGGGGTCTTTAAACAAACACAGGAATGCATGGTACATTGCCTGTTATCTTTTTTTATCGTCATCGCTGACGCTTTACTCAGTCACTAAACACATATGTACTAAAATTGCACAATATATTTGACTCCATCTGTGCCAGAAAGCCACTCAGCCAATTTATAGCACAGTTGCTGTCGGTACAAGTGTCATAATGCTTTACGGTCTTATTCCTATTCTGTGTTGACACCATGAAATTAAAATTGTACTTTGTGCCAACAGTGAAACCACATTGGCTTCAATGTTTAGCTCCATGTGTTCATCTAGTAATATCTAAAAGCAAAAGACAAGAGTCAAATAATGAAGGACGTTGGAAAATTGGAAATGTGTCTTTAAGTAACAGGCAGAAACGTGTTCATTTCTCAAGGTCTTACAAATGTGATAGCAGAGAACTTTCTGTTCATAATATTGTAAGATGTTCTCAGTGGGGACTTCAGGGGGTCAGCACTCCCACAAATCTCCCACCTACGCAGCAAAGCGCAGCGAATTATAAGGCGATTGATGTATGGACGGAGAGTAAAAGAAGGTAAAAGGAAAATTCTCGGGAGTCGGAAGAACAGGTGAGGCAGACGGTGCTGGCAACAGAGCACTCATCTTCAGTCACTGGGGCTAAAGTGAAGAGCCTGGAGGCACTGACAGCACACTGCTCTGCCAAGTCTGTCCAAGAAAGTCTGAAATAAAAGCTTCTTATCACACCGCTACACTGTGTCTACAATGAACACAGATCATGCAGATAACCTTGCAGTGGTGCTGAGCAGCACCTCTCCCCAGGAAGCTGAAGGCAGGAAATATTGACAGAAAATGTTTTCAGATTATATTCTCATGACTAAATCAATACGCAGACAGGCCATCTCTTTAGAAAGGAGTTAGCATGAAGACAAGCTGAAGGTCAAGCTCTTAGCCTATTAAAAGGTAGCTAGGCATGAGATTTGGCACTGCATCTCTGGCTCCTACTGCATGGTGCAGCTATAGCAACCTTGAAGGGTTGATTAGCAGCTGAGACGGCTCCCACGACACAGAAGACCCCGCCTCATAAAATCCCAGGCTCTGAAACTGAACAAGGATCCTGAGAGAGGGGAACAGGAGGGAATACGGCAGAAGAAGTGCCTGCCTGCCTCATCTTTTACAGGACAAATTAAAACCACAGCGGAACAAGTCATAAAACAGGAAATAATGAATTCAATTATACTTTTTAGTGTTTAAGGTCTGCAGCTGAGATGTGCTGAGTGAGCAGCACGTGCACACACGGTGGCACAAGATGATGACTGTGTTGGTGGCTGCTTTGCTGAGGACGGCCTCATGCCCCATGGAGCAGTTTAGACCTCGACAGGGCCTTCATTAGCAAATGAATGACTCTTAATTGGGCTGGCAATACAAAGGATGCTTGTTGATTATAGCTGCCTTTTCTTGTGTGGTGGGCACCAGTTTCATTATTTTACCTTAATTAATTTCAATTGTGATTCATTGTACAAGAAAATAATAGTTTGTGCTAAAAGGACATAAAAATAACCTAAATAGCTTTTTTCACTTGAGGAGAAAACATACTTCAAAGCTCAAGCAATAGGCTACAAGGCAATTAGAGTCGAGGAACATTGTATAGTTGTTTGAGTGTAATAGGTAATTTGACACCTGCCTTAAGAGGTGTTCAAGGCATGTCACACCAGGAGAAGACACCAGGGAAGAAGACCCGGAGCACGTTGGCCTGGGAACTTCCTCGAGGAAGTGTGTGTGGAGAGGTAAGTCTGCTGCCCCCGCTGCCCGGCAACGGAGAAAGTAGACAAAAGCCAGTCACTGTCTGTGCTGCTTAGCAGAGAGAAAGGGAATGCAATTTCGGGTCATGTGACCCACGACAAAATCATCTGCTATAATAACCTCACACGTTAATGGGTCACTGCTAAATTGTAATAGGGCTATTCTTCATAAAAAAGGCTGTTTGTTTTAACACAAGATAAGTTTAAAGCTGTCACTCTGAGGTTCAAGCAAAGTTAGTTAGTTTCCGTTTTGGTGCTACGAAGAGCACCAGCTTAAGAGGTTAAAATGACAATTATGTTGAAGACCCAATATTTATGGACCTAGTTGTTGACTCAAATACTACAAAAATGGAGCGGCTTTAGAAATGGTCTCTTTATTCACATTCAAACCTAAAACCTTCCTCAACATAAATTTCCACTGCAGGAGGTGGTGTTAAGGTTCCACTGAACAGCTAAATACTGTAGACCCGTATTGTGAAGTGTGTTAAAGTATTTCCCACATTTACAAATAATGACTGTGGGCTCTTTTTAGATATACGTACAATACATTTTCTACACATAACTGCAGTATCCATGTGCTCTGGCTGCAGATGCACATATGGAACTTTGTCAAAATAAATTCTGGTGAGTTTAACAAATGAGTCACCAATCCTGTACTCCCAACAATACACAATAACAATAACATTCACTGCATTATTATTCATTCTGATTGCGACAAATATGCTAATTCAAGCCCACTAATCGTTTGGTAGAGAAAGGACAAGTTATTGTGTTAATTTTGACAGCCCTACTGACACAGGTGTCAACATATCACACAGCAAGCTAAAAAGGAGCCCGACTACCAGGAGCATGTTTTGTTAATAATAAATAATATGTCATCAGAATAACACATTTGCATTGTGCACTGTTCAAAAGCAGTTGTCTATAAAAGCATTGGACAGTGGACTCTGGGAAATATTCTCTTTCTTTAAATCTATCTATAGTTTTCTCATGTGTCTCTATTTTGTACTCTTGTTCAGTGCGCCCGTGATTGTCCCTTGGCATTACTAACACCTCAGCAGGAGGGAGAATCAGAGGCGAGAGTCCTGGTGTCCTAGATACTACTGCCGTATAAGGAGCATGGCACATGCTGGTCAGGCCAAGGTGCTGAAATACAGCTGAATACAACCCCCACGTTTAGCAATCCTATTAGAGCACCAAACAGGACACAGAAAGCCCTCTGCACACAATTACTTTTCACTGCAGGTGCTTCTTTAAACAATCGTGTCATTGGCAAGATTTGGAGATATCCACAAAGACATAAACGTGCACTGCCTTTTCAACAGCTGAGAGTTCCCTTCCACTAATTGCAAAGTTTCAGTAGAGAGATTTGCCAGAAGCTCCTTGTGCTCTAAAAAATTACACAACACTTGACAGACAAAAGTAAACCGAGAATTAGATTGTTATTTAAAGAGTGTACAAAGATAAATAGGTGTGGAGATCATACAAGGCATTAAAATTGTTAACAAAATAACTGACAAAGGGTCTGCAAATGAAGAAAGAGCTGTTGGAGGTAATAACTGTTAAATCCTGTCAATACGTCAGAGAACAGCGTCAACAGTGTTATCTCAATTTAAAAGGAGACATATTATGGAATATGTACTTTTTTTTACAGATCACAACAGTTGTTATGGAGTTGTATTATCAGGGACTTCTGGCACAAGCATGTAACTCCACCCTTCCTCACTAAAAACACGTGTCTTAGTCCTGTAATATAATGATGTCATGGTATTGCTATGACATCACGCTCAGGCACGTGCTGCCTTCGCTTTTTCCAAGTATTTGCAACTTGAAATATATGGCTTTGTTTGCAGGCGGTCATTTTCAAATCCCTTTGGTTGTAGCATGTAGGGAGTGAAAGCATTTCATTTGTTTCAGCCTATGTATTCTACCTGAGATAGCATTTTGGATACTAAAACATACAATTACTCCTTTAACTGGACTTCTATCAAGTTGCTGTTTTTCATGCGTCCCTCTCGCCAAAAAATAATGTAAGTCCGGCATCGGAGTTATCATAAGGCAATAACACGGTGTCCTTTCCGCTAACTCATCGCTTGTTTCCTCTGTAAGTCATTGGAAGCCCCGTAGTGAAGGGCTCAACTGCAAAAACCTTCAATCCCTGATAAACCACCCACAGCGCACATCAGCAGCTAAAATATGATGGCATTCGTGAGGTCATAAATCTTGTTTTAGTGGGACGAGACGGGAGAAAAGGAAGCAGCAGCGATCTCCCCCTGCATTGTTAAAGCTAAATGTCAAGTTTTCCGTGTGTTTTGTGCCATTTGTTTCAGTGCAGAAGGGAGAAGTCTGGAAAAAAAATCACATCAACAGAAGGAAAAGTAGAAAGAGCTAGGCGTCAGCTGCTTTCAGGGTTCAGTAGACGGACGAAAGTTTAAGCGGATCTATTGAAGTTTCAGACTAAATGGATTCCCGATCGGTGACGCAAGAGCCGGCGATATGAGTGATGA